TCTGGCACTCATTCAAATCTCTGCCTCTCTGCCTTCCTCAGCGCTGTGAAAAGAAAAATCACTCCCCAATGGAAATTCACCACTTTCACAGAAGTAAAATTACTCTTCTCTGTAAAAATGGGCTTTCATCATTTGCATTAAATGTAATTAAATAATGTAATTAAATTGTCGCAGTAACTAGTGTATCTCTGCATGCTACTTGGCTCCAGGAACGCTCAGTATGTATTTGCAATCCAGATTGAAAAGAACTGTTCTCAGAGCAGAATTTTGCTATGTCATGAGGTTAAAATGTTTGTTCAGGTTTTCAAACTTCACAAAATAAGTGATGTAGAGATACATGAGAACAAACCAGCAGATGTGACTGTGAGGCATTACAGAACAGCAAGCAAAATTTAATAAAAACTTTAAACAAACAGGTAGCAATATGTCCTTATGAAGGACACCAAATCGAAAAGAAACAAGAACACAAGAAAGCAAAGACAAAGCAATTTGTAAGTGATCTCTCCGACACAGAAAGATTGAATTTATTGCAGTGAATAAATGACTCTGTTGTCTTTATATATAATGTAAATGTAATAGCAATGCAAAATGTTGTTATAGCGTCTTATTTTGCTGTTTATAACGATGAAATAGCAATGAAGTTGTATTTGGTACTGCCAGAGAGAGAGGCATTATTTGTAACAGTAACAACTGGAGCCAAACATCATGCAAGTTAATGGAAGGATACCATTTGCTTGAAATGGCAGGCAGATAATTTAGGGCCTAACCTACAAGTGTGGTCCCAAAACTATATTATACCTTAATTTCGGTGGGGGGGGTGGGGGTGTGTGTGGAAAAACAAAGGATACTGCATTCATCGTTTTACATGAACACTTTTTGTTACCTCCACATACTCAGCTTTGCCCCAGACTTATCTAGAAACGCTGCCACGAAATTGTTTCTCCTACTACTGTGCCTATGTTCCTAGATGCACAGATTATAAAACAAGAGGTTCTGTTCCCATTAAATATCTCTCTAGAATGCTTTCCAAGTAACAAAAGCCATCTCCTGCATGTTTGGTCCTACCTGACCTACAGATGCTGACAGTTACCACTGGCTAATGCTCCAGCTCAAACCAACCACGTGTGGTCCAGTGCCTTCATTTTATCTCCGGTTCACCTGTTCAACCTAATTCATGTCAGTTCCCACAGATAACTCAAATATTTTTGTTGGTATTAGTTAATTAGGCATTACGCCAACGACCAAAAGGGTTTAAAAAGATACACCACGTGCAAGTCATTTACAAGCTACAGGACCTGAAAACTGTTACCTGTAGGTGAGACATGGGCGGGAACTGAGAAAAAATGATGTGCCTGGAGACTTGCGCGTGGTGAATTCTGCAGAGCCACCTCCTCAGTGGAAGGGCACCCATGTCCTTAAGAGTCTCACGGCACCCAGAAGAATTGCTGGTAACACTTGGCAGGGAACAGAGATATCATTTCATCCTACCAACATGTCACCTCGCTGCTTTGAAGGTATCTCGGAAAAAGTACAATGATCCCGGCAGTACTCCTCCTTACCGTGCAGAGACAGGCTTTCAGCAGAGACATTTTGTTATTTACTAAACTTTAACAAAAAAGAAACTCAAAAGAGCCCTGTAGCTACTAGTTTCATACTGAGTTAAATCAGTCCCAGCATCTTCAATCCTGAGCAAGACAAGTGTAGGAAAGGCACCCCTTTGCGAGCTGCCCCAGCTGAGCTCAGTCACAGCCCTTAATTAATATCCCCCCATCCTATTGCATCTTAGATTTATTTGCACTTCCCTTCAGCTCCAAGCTAGATGAAGCAAAATACAAGTGCAGCCAGAGGACTAGCAGCAATCACCCTGCAACTCCCTGCAGAGGTTCAAAAGCAGGCAAGGGCTCCTTTATATGGCAAAAACTTATGATCACCTTAACGAGCAAAATATTCTGTTCCGCTATATCTACTTACAAACAGCTCACTAGACTGATGTTCTATTCCAGAACAAAAGTGACTCTGACTTTTTACTCCCTGCTCTGACAATTATTCTGGAATGAAATGAGTTTTTATTCCAGAGTAGAGTTGCCCATCAGGGAACCACTGCAGCACAGATAACTGCATCAGAATAAGCCATGGCAGTGTATGAAAGAAAATTTCCCAGCGCAGAAAGCCTCACATCTCAGAATTGCTGAGATGTTATCTCTGACCTACTTTGCTCAAAGTACCATAGAGATATCTCCACACAGGCATCCAATTATTTGTTGAAATCAACAAGTACTTTTGTGCTACACAGAATTAGTGCATGGAAAAAAAAAAAAAAGAGAGTAAAGGAGGTTGATAGGTGGAAAGAAGTGTTCTTTTTGTAGCATTTGCAGTACAGGAATTGATTTCACAAACATGCTCATCCAAGCAATGTAGTTCATTCAGTAGACAGTCAACTCCCATCAAAGAGTCATTCTTAACTTAAAATCAGCATGCCCATAACAGAAACAAATGAACGGAAAAGAGCAGAATAGTTCTTTAGAATCAGCCCAGCTGTCTCGTGCATCCAATACTCCCACATACAAATGTTTTCATTGAAGGGGAAAAAAATGCCAACCCCAAAGCTGAATACCATAGTTAAAAATGGCCATCAAAACCGAACCATGTACCATGCAAACAGGGTAACCTAAGACACTCAGCACATTCCCAGAGAAGACCCCACCAAAAAAGGACACTTCTGTAGTTCTTAAAATATTTTCAAAAGGAACGTTCCTAACAAAGGATTTTACAAGGCAATAAAACACTTTACTAGGTAATTAAATTCTCCTAAGTTAGCTTTTGCTAACTGCAGAGTTTATTACAAGGACAGCTGTCCCCGGGATTAACAAACTCTGGGTTGAATATGAGAAACATTACTTTTTTTTTTTATTATTATTATTTCTCTGAAACCTTGTGAAATATTGGAAGGGTTTGAGAGACAAATTTAGAACAAATTCATTTAAAGAGTATAAATTCATAAGTATTCCAGTAAATGGTGTGGTATACAACATTACAGGAAGGGTCACTTTTACCTTAAGAGCACAGTTAATCTCACTTAACTCAGAGTCCACTCTGGTGCAAATTGTTGCTAAATTTAGCTCAGTTAGTGCAGATATGAAATTTGCTACCATTTATGGGACAATAATGTCTGTTTCTCTGATCTGTGAAAATTAAACCCTTGTTCATCTGACAATACAGAAGGTTTAGTATACGACGGCACCTCTGTACCGTAAGATACTATTTCTTAGAACAGTTCTGTACCATTGATTAAGCTATTGAGTGAAAGAGGAAAGAGAAAAATTCTGTTTTCTCTGATTAAAAATTTTTTAAATAAATTAAAATTCTATGCTAAATCAAATTCTTAGGTCAGAAAGAGATTTAGTTTAATCTTAAAAAATTATTTCCTAGACCCTGAGAAAAAGACAGTAAAGAGAGAAATATTCTAATGCTTTTAATATTTATTAGAAAAACATAATTAAAATAATACGAAGAGAAAAAATAATTCTCCATCTGAAATCACTTATGGTAGCCTATCTGTTTGCAGAAGCAAGATAAAAAAAGGTCCATTATTAATGAAGGCGTAACATTTAATCAATGCAGTTTGCAATTTCTAACAATAAATTCTGTAGATGTAACCACACGAAAAAATTGCACCAATTGCAAACTGGGGGTAGAGGCTCCGAAATCTGCAATTCTCACAGCGTGATTCATTAGTCCAGTAAATACCTGCCATCACCTTGTTGAAAGACGTGACCTCCAACTGAAAATGAAATGACAGGGTAGGTGAAAAGTATAGCACGTGCAGTATGCTTGGTAGAGATCTGAACTGAATGATGGATTGATTTTTTTTTCGTTTGTTTAAGACTAGGATACTTGTTGGCTTCATTTTTTTTTTTCCAGAGGTAAATTCACAAAGGCATCTTAGGTTTTGGGTTTTAGATACCAAACCTTAAGTACTCTGACACCCAGTAGCATACCCAACCTGAAAACAGCCAACTGCATTTCAGCTCGTGTCCTCTACTCTCTTTCTTTCCTTGTACTAATTCTGTGTAGCACATACTCGTCGACAGCCAGGGAAGGAAGCCTTTTGCTATTGAGGCTTATGAATCCCTTATGAATCATATTTGACTTAACAATCTGCAAAACAAGAAAATTTGAAAATTGCTGTTCTCTATAGCTGTTGGACATGTTAGCAACCTGGAACGAGATCTACAAGAGACACAATATTGAACAAGGGTTACCCAAGCTTCCCTCTAGGAAATCCTGAGGAAAAGTATGCACCTACCCTCATTAGGGGGGCAACAAGCATGGGCTATATGAGCAGAGAACTAAATAACGACTGGTTTCCTTAGACTTCAAAGAATTTAATAATCAGAAAGAAATCCTAACAATACAGAAATGGCATTATATTTTTTTCCCTCTGGCTGTGATACCTGAAGTGTCTTTGTCCCTTATGGATTCTGTAATCTTTATATTAAAGTGCAGACCGCATCGTACAAGCTTGAAATGTTCTTCCCTACCTACTCACCTATTTTAGTAACCTTGCAGAAACGTGGTATCTTCGAAATTATTATATTCGAGCTTAGCAGAAATTAGTTAACACGTTTCAAATTTATCACTAACGCTGTCAGGCTTAAGCAAAATTATGTACAGAGGAATATACAGAGTGGAACTTCATAAGCTTTACTTCAGTAGGAACCAAGGCTGAAGACATGTAAATATTCATGGCAGAAGGGAGAAGCCGCTCTCTCTTCCCCACAGCACTGAAATGGCGACTAGTTACCTTGCTCCCTCCTGTTAGGCTAGCATTGCAACTTCTGATTTTTTTTTGTCCTCAAAGGCAAGTGAAGTATATAAATTATTTGCTAAAAAAAAACACCAAAACAACCACCTTTGTTCTCATTAGCATATGTTTAACATGGAGACCATCATACTATGACTTGCAGTAAATAAACATGCAATAGATCATACTCATATACCATGATATATGGTGCTGCTGTTGCTGTTAAGATACGATTCAACCAATGGTGCTTGTTCTTCCGAATGTTTCATTCTCCGTGTTCTTGTGCGACTGTCCACATTGGACTGAACCATTAATGGCTCCTGGCGCTTTTTTTTCTGCTTCTGTTCTAGCAGCGCTCGCTGCAAAAAATACAAAGAAAAGCATCTGTTACTGGACTCCAAACAGTAGCAATCTATGATAAAAAACACTGGGTATCTTTACACCTTCTCCAGTTTTCCTGTGGCAGCAGTTGGCAAGTGGGATATTGGGATATCAGGTTATAGGAAATCTTTCCAAAAAAACCCACTACTGAAACACCTTCTGCTGAAAACAGCAAATAATTAAAATGGATCTTTCTGAGCAGTCTACCAGCTGTCAGAGCTTGCTTGGAAATCACCCTTGGGAAAACAACAGTGTGAGAGTAGTGGCTGCGAAGCAATGGGAGGGTAAGCAAGGGCATGAGGCAGAGATGCCAATTTAAATTCCTGTAAATTAAGAGCAGGTAATCTGCAAACTGGAATCAAGTGATAATGCTGGACATGAGCCTAATTTAACAGCTATACAAGATGAACTTTAATTAAACACTTGAATTTCTCAGCTAGACCTGCTGAAACCCAAAACCTTCAGCATCTGATGGCACCATAGGCACCTCTCTCTGAGCCCTCTTCCACAGAGAACTGAACTGTTAATTTTACTTATCTATTACCTTACCATTTCCCTGCTCCTGTACAGTGATTTTTATTTTTATTTTTTTTTGCTTTTAGAAGTGAGATGCACTAAAACTGCAGAACAGGAATGAAGAGTGGACTTTTTCAGCTCTGTAAGTTGCGTGTAACGCCTCAACATGATTTCAAAATGACCAGAATCTAATACAGGATTATGGCATAGACAGAAAGTATTTGAATTTGAAAATGAATGCTGGTAGACATGCAAGCTGATAAAACAGTGGGAGAAGAAATACACAGAACAACATAAAATGAAACTCACAAGGTTTAACTATAAACATGACAAAGTTTCATAAAAAGGGGGCCACAGAAAAAATCAAAGGAAGAGTGGAAACCTCAAACCCCATTAAAACTTGATGGCAAAATTCACTGAGATTTCATGGAAGAGATTCTGAATCACTTTCTTGTAAAAGTCATGTAGGAATACAGTAGCAAAATAGGCAACATAGCACATAGTGCCACTACTTTACAGTCACCAGGGCTAAACCCATGGAATGAAAAGGAAAAGATGTAAAAACTTTGTGGTAAACCTCTGTTGGCTGGCCAGTCTGCCAGAACCTCTTGCCCTTTCTAGTCCATCAGAGGGGTAAGAAATACAATGTAAGTCAGCTTAAAACAAGTCGAAGGCAATGGAAAAGAGAATCACTCAAACCACAGTCATAAGAAAAATTTCAATAGAAGCCAGACTTTTAAATAAGCTGTAACCTCCACAAACCTCTCTTTTGCATTCCCTAATCAGAGGATGTAATTTTCTATCAATTACCAGATGTAAGTGTCGGTGATTTCGTTACTCCAAGATCTAGACTTCAGAGAGCAAGAAGGTCTCCCTCCAAAATCTTACCTGCCTGTCAAGCTTCTGCTGACGCAGGCTGCTCCCCTCATCATCCAGAACACTGCAAAGACAAAGAGGACATAACTGGAACAGATTTATCACTCCAAACAAAACCTAACCACAATCACTGGAGCAAACTCTTGCAGGAGTTACTCATATAAAACTCTCACCGTGTTCCATGGAAGTTTGCCTGCCCTAACCTGCAAAAGTTGGTTCAAGAGACTTTAAATGCAGTACATGAAAAACTGAGTAACTCTGGTTCACGTAATTGTCAATAAAAATAAATATTCAGCCAGTACACAAAGAAATGCAAAATCCACGGTCTGCAGCTTGTTCTTTCTCTACTGTCTTCTAATGCAAAATGTCAATGTATACAGCAATGGGGTTTGATTGAAAACTTGCATATAAAGCATTTTGAAAGTGAGGAGTGCAAGAGAGCTGCTTAGCAACTCAGCAGTATTGAAAATTACCTTATAAAAATTAACTGCTCGATCTTTTGTATGCTGAAAACCAGAATTTACTCCTGAATATCTGAAAAGTCACACTGCCATGCACTTCAGCTTTTAGAGACTGGCAAGACAAACAGTATTGTGCACTGCCATATTTCTTTCTGCTAATGGTTGCTAGTCAGGAGATTAGCTCCTGCACGTGCAAACATTTTCATTAATTAGATGTTAAAAATGAATGGCATTGAAATCAGAAAATTATTTTTGTCAAGTATTTTATCAAAATACTGACTACACTTTATTTTTCTGGAGAACAAAGGTCTCTATTTTAAGAACATTATGGTTAAACATGGAACATAGATAATTAAATCTGCTAAACTGTAATATATCATCTACAAGGAAAATAGTGCTGTAGAACAAAAAAAAGCCTCTTGCAAGTAGAATTCATTTTCTCTTAGAACATATTTTTATAAAAGATTAGCCCCTCTTTTATAATCATTCTTAACAGTCAAAAAGAAAAAATCCAGGACAAACGAACCTGGATTCTGACCTACATACAACCAAACCGTATTGCAGTGGAAATGTCACAAAAAAAATGTGACTTCTCATGTACTAATATATACTCTTTAGGAGACAGTAACATTATAGTAGAGTCAGACAGGACAGCCAACAAAGGCATGCAGATTGCCACCTTTCCAACGCCAGCGTTACCAAAGAGCTAATTAGGCATTATTAGTAGCATCAGCCTTTTACAGTTTATATTCAGGTTATATGTTACAAAAGGTTGATGTTCCACAGAATGACTCTATGCTGTACAAGTACCTCAGGTATGAAATTACACAGTCTCTTGTAGAGGTAATGCATTACTCATAGTCCACAAAAAAAAAAAAAAAAGAAAAAAAAAAAAGAAAAAAGCCTCACACTCACCAAGAATGTTCTGCCTTACACCAAGCATTCTTCATTTGATAAATTACAGAAACAAGTTATAAAAAGAAGACATGTATTCCTCCATGGTATACAATATCAGGGTTTTTTCACGAGTGCTTCACTACAACTGCAATAAATATTAGCTGCACTGCTAGAAAGTCAAACTACCCAAATGGATATTTTTGGCCAAACAATTGAGCAAAAGATGCCTAAGTACACAGTTTCAGGCTTAACAGCCTGAACAAATCCTCCTCATTTAAGGCAATGCTTGAAAAAAGCCAAAACCGTGTAATGATGCTAACACAGACCATAGAAACTGCAGAAGCAGCAATGTATATATTGCCATAATAGCCAGAGAGGTCAAGAGGCAATATTGCTCCACTCCACCAGTCATTTGCAGACCTAAGGAGAAAACTCTGATCTCTCATCTTCTGCTTTATAAATCAGACTACGCTCACTCCCTCAGATAGGTTACATGAGCTATATATATACACTTCTCAGACATTCCCATAAACCACCACTTCAGTAATTATCTTTATGTGAATATAATGGTTTTCAATATTACAGTGGATTGGCGATAATTCTAAATTCTGTACGACAGACAAGGTGTCTAAGCGCTCCGGATGATTCTACCTTCCTCTGCTTTCCCATCACACCGTACCCTGGCATAACACACTGCACGGAACAAGGGAGCAGGGAAATGTCCTCGGTCGGGCTCTGTGACCCCCTGGGAAACCACAACAAGCTAAATTCAGGTTCGGGTAAACAGGCACAGCTCCCTCAGGTCTCTTTATACCCAATCTTAGCACGGTAAACAGTTTAAGTAACACCACAGCAAACGCCAGTCAGAGGAAGGGTGTGATTTGCATTGAATCACCGATCTACAAACGCAAAGCAACTACCAGACACACCAAAGGACTGCCAGAAAAATGAACCTCCATCCAAAAACTGTGGATCCTGTAACGCTGAAACACCTCTCCATATTGCCCTTCTACTGCAAGACGTTGTTTTTAAAGCCTCTGAATATATGCAATCAAAGCTGACAGCACAAGCAGCATGCCTTGAAAACCAGCTGACAAGCTCGGCTGCAACTTCCAGGCCCTTCATTCTCTCACTTCATATTTTATAAAGTTCTGGGTTGTTTTCCACAATCCTTTTGTAAATATGCATTAAGTACAAGCCTTGCATTTTTTAAGACGTAACATTCAACAACTAAAATTGTACTCCAGCTTTCTTCACTGATACTCAGGTTCAGTAGAATACAGGTATTTCAACAATTCTCACACCTTCCAGATTACTGGACTTGTAGTAGAATGCATTACTCCTGACAGACAGAAATGCCGCTCTTCTGCATCCTTTACAGTGTAAAAAAGGCCTTAAAAGTGATCTCATTACCACTAACACTGTCTGTTTTAACCGCGACTCAATGCCAGTCTCAGTAAAAAGCTGCAGTTCTGCCCTTTCTTCATGCCTAAATAATTGTTATGCAAGTCCAAATAAAAAGAGGATCCAATTTAGCCTATATAGTCTTCTTCTAGAATAGCAGAGCAGTCTAGTTCCAGTTTGTGTTCTTTGTTAATATTTCCTACAGGAGTAGCGGACCTTGGAGTTGCTGATGACCAGCGGATATTTCACATTCCCTGATTTTCAATGGAGAACTCACCTGAGACTGGGTAACTCCCAAGATTTGCCATTAAAGGACATTGGGTTATTAAAATATAAATGAATAAGAACAATAAGCTTTGTTTCCATAGCAATTCCATCAGGCCCTCACTTTTGCTGCCTTAAAAAACACCTGCAGCAGACCGAGATGTGTGTGTGGTGCCACCACTGACCCTCCTGATCCTTTTTCACACTTGAGTGACACCTCGCAGAAAGATTTAGCAGAAGATCTTGCCATAGCATCTGGCAGTCCACGCGCTCTGGCAGATGCTCGAGGGTCCAAGAGCTGAAATACAGAGAAGCTTCCCTTTTATTTCTTTGGAAAACAGAAGTTTAAGAGAAGCAGCACAGCTTTTGCGCTTCCCAGTCTTTAACAGAAATCCACTGCTCTTTCCTCTGGAAGAGTTGTGCACATGGAGAGGACCTGGCTTATCCTGCCCAGTTTCACAAGTGGCCGCGGTTTTGTTGCTCAGTGATCCAAATACCTGGGATAGTCAGAGACTGAAGGCCCAGTACTGTGGAAAAACTATGGCTGTAACACAGCAGGACCACTACAAGAAATAATCTCATGGAGAGCGAGGCTGTTAGAACAATTCTGCCTATATGTTTGATGTGATGCTATAAAATCCCAGCAGCAGCATGAAACTCAGTCATCTTAATAGAGAAATATAACTTTATAATTCATGCAAATTGAATTATTGAAGAGAATGCATACATATTAGCAATCTGCTGAGCATGCTGAAGTATCCTGAAGATCCAGCAAGGTTCATTTTTACTCCTATTTGATCACGTATCATGTATCCACTTGGCATCTTGGCTATTGCTTTGACCCCACTCAAAACAAAAAGATATTTTACACAATATATAATATTGTAAACAGCACTTCAGGTCTGCAGTAATAGTCTAGTCCAAATTCAGTTAACAAATCAGAGCTTGCATATATTTCATTGCAGATAATTATCTGGGGAAGACCCATCCATCTATGCACAACCCGAGCAACCCACCCATTAGAGCTTAATGGATGTTGGGCTTAAGAAGTTAAGCCTATAGCTATAGATCTTAAAGATTCATATTAGCAGCCTGGACCAAGGCCCACAGAGACTTAAGTATTACATTTAGATAGCATTATTTTGACATCTTATATGTGGCATTTGATTTGAATATCCCTATCTGCTATTTTCTAAAGGGAAATACTTTAAACAAGCAATCACCTTTTTATCAAAAAAATAGTACTTTTCATACCACCTATTTAAGACTCAAAATCTATTTTACGGAGACAGTTTCAACATTAAATTCAATTTACACAAAAATAACCAAATGAAGACAAAACTATAAGCAAGAATTTTAGTATTTTAAACTCTTCATAATCTGTATTCCTTAAAAATCATTTAGAGAGGAACACAAGACCAAACAGGTTTTAAAGATGAAGCTTCATGATTACGTGAAGCTCCACAATTTACTTCTGAGATGAAGGCAGGAGCTTCTGTAAATCAACATCTTGCCACATTTTACTTTAATTCCACATGGACTGATTTCAATTTAAGTAAAATTGGAAAAGCCTTAATTCAAATCACACATTTCACAGCAAATACTTCACCTTTGCCCTTTGAAAATGCAAACTGCTTGCATTTCAGTAAGCCATTGCAAGAAAAAAAGAACTTAGAAGAAAAGTTTTCAATTAGAATGTGCAAGATGCATGTAGTCACCAATTTTATTTATTTTTTTTTAAAGAAAGTAAAGTAGCTCGATTGTCTCAGCCTGACAAATGAGGCAATTGTTTTTGTCCTGACACTGCTTCGTAAAGGAACGTTTTCCATGACAATAACTGTTTGGCCAGGACAAAGGTCCAAAATCACATCTATCACACCTCTGCAGCCCAGCAGTAACTGCCGTGAGAAGCGTTCCTGAACAAACAAGCAAAGATATACACTACCACTAAACTTTCTTACACTGTTTGAAAGTGTCACCCTTACATTTTCTCTTTCTGCTACTTCACGATAATATATTACTAGCAGTAGCACCCAGA